TTACGAGCGGAATTTTCGCGATTATCGGGTTCGAATGAAATGTGTTCTTTACTAAATGTACGGGAAACAGTAGACCAATGGAAAACATAAAACGGCTGGTGGCCATATACCGATTACATAAAGGTGTCGTGTTACCGTTCTGTAGATTGCACGAAATTGCAATATACGAGTACCGTGCGGCGAGAGACGGAAATATTCGTGCGGGCAAAACGGAGATTTAAATAATAGCAGAAAATAATTTAAATCCTTAATTCGCCGATAAACGGTTATACATAAATATTAATCCCTTTCGTGTTCCTTCCGTAATGGATTGGTTAAATTAAAATATAAATGTAATTTTATTAAACTTTGTTCGGTTTAATTCAATTTTAATAGAATTGGACCTAAACCCGTATGAATATTTGAGATAGGTAGGATTAAAAATTCAATGAAGTTTAGTGAAGTAATTATTGTATTATCAATCAAGTAAAAGTCTAAAAGAAATATATAAATTATTTAACTTCTATTTTTGTACATCACTCTAAAAACATTTAATTTTTTATCAAAATCTGCAGTATAGTATTTATTTAAAAATTTCAATGTATACGTCTATTATACATATTAGTATAATAAAAATCGAATTATGCAATTACAGAATAAAAAGAACAAAATCAAAGTAATTCGTAATTGTCTATTCTATAGTATACATATATAAAGTGATATTCTAAATTGAAAATTATTATAAAATAATTTTTTGATTACATACGTTTCACTTGTTTCAAAGTTTCTTAATTCTGTTTAGGCTATGCGCAATATATTTATTCATAATGAAAAAAATGCTCGATATTCAACTAACCTTAAGAAAAGTAAGGAATCTGTAAAATTAGTGACATAATTTACGATCTAAGAATCAGAGAATTAGTTATATTTTCCTGTTCAATTGATTTTACATACAACCGTCTTATTGTGCTTAAAAAATAATTCGACAACTTGCATTGTAGGTTATTGGCAATACAGTTTGGCAAACGGTGATAATACAATTATTTATTACTCGGTATTATTGACTGATAACTAGGCTTTACTATTTTTAAAACAGGAAAATATGCAGATGAAACATTTTAAAATCCAGATTTCCGTGTACATACGACCGGTAGTAAACATTCAGTGTCCGTTAATGTATGTAAGTCCTAACCTTGACGACTCTTCCGCTTCCCTCTGGTCTTCTCGCTTTTCTTTTTTCGTTTCAAGCTCATCAAGCTTGCTTCCGTATTAATGGCCTACGCCGGTCTCAGAAAGAAGCAATTAAGCGAGCCTTTTATCGCGATTTAAGATTGAAAAGCAACGTCTCAGCCTTCTACGGCACAACGTTTACAGTCATAATACCCTGAGACTTTTTATAAATTCAAACTTCGAAAAACTGATGAAATATCTTGCCATTTGAACACACTGATTCAAATCAGAAACAATTAGTTGCACGCTTAATTCTTAAGACACACAGAAAATGTAATTAAAGCTACATTGAATCTAAAATAATGTAAACATTTAATTATTTTGATACTGCAAAGGTGATAATTTTTTATGAAATTTAAAATTATTCTTATATATTAAAGAAAACATTTAATTTCAGTTATTTGGATTATAAGCTTTTTATTTCCCAATCGGTAAATGAGATTTTAAAGTGAAAGATATGACTGTGTTGATTATAAATATTGCATACAGGAAACCAGAATGATTGGTTTTTTCAAGTTTAGTAATCGATTATTTATTGCGGCATTGAATCTTTAAGTCCAGAAAATTTGTGTAGAATTTTGAAGGTGTATTGTTGTAATTATTAACCTTTTCTTATTGAGTGCAACTGGTGGAATTGTTAAAATCATTTTTAATCATTTCAGAGAACGTTATGTTCGCTCCTACGTTTAAAGCCTCGTCCGCGACACCAGGTACAGTTGCAAATGACTGTGTGACATTAACGGAATGTTTTTACCCTTGTGAATTGTATGACTATTAAAAAAGTACATATTAATCAATTGATGGTAATAAATTTTAAATTAAGAATAATATATTAGATTGGCGGAGAATAAACGGCTCATTAATATACATATCTTCGCGGTATTAGCGTTTTATACAAGATATTTCATTTCCTTTTCAATTATAAACAAGAATGTCTTAGAATCTTAACATTACTACATGATATTGATGTTCTATTATACCGTTTTAAGTATAAAAAGTAAATGAAACATCCTGTTATGTATTAACATAAGTTTTTGGTATTGTATTTTCATAATGATTAAGATAAACGGAATATATTGCATATTAATATTGTGAATTTCGTCCGAGAACTCTATGGGTGGTACTAGATCAATGAAACACCTCATGGCACATCCTATACATATATCACACTAGTAATTTCTTCAGTATACATATAGTATTAGTATAGCCTTGTGTTTATATAAATAAATTAAACGTCTTTCAAACACAATGTATCTGTACATATCTATATTCTTAATATGATTCAATTTAATTTTTTATTAATCAGTCTGTTAATAATTCTTTCTAGTAGAAAGGATTATGTGCATTAATTATTAAAATTAATAAAAATATTAGTATAACAAATTTCTGTCTCGAGTATCGTGTAAGTGAATAAAATAACTTCCTAAAACACTTTGTTTGTTAATAATAATATCGTCTTTCTCACATATTTCTACAATAATTAAAGAAAATGAAGCATTTCGTGTGTACCGCGATAAATGATCAAAGCAAAATGATACATTATGCTGTCACTATTTATATATGGCGCGTGAGCAGGAAGCGAGCTGCAGTTGAAAACCCGTAAAATTAGATTTTCGAGGACGTTGATATTAAGGTACGTCTAATTGTAATTGGTCGATGGTTACCAAAATACGATGCTCAGTTGGCTTTCTGAAGCAAGACGTTTCACGCAATGCCAATTTTCATCTTGATGAACGTTAAAATGCTAACGGAATTGGGTAACGTTAACGCTTCATAAGAATGTCTCTATTGTTCTCCCATTCTATTATATCACGAAATATGTCATTTTGGCGAATATGTATTATGTTCCTTCCTTTACAACGAAAATACAGATATGTTTTACGAGGAAGTTTATGCAAAAACAGCTCCATGGAAATATTAGTTTCGTATGATAAACATAAAAGAGAAAGAATCCTATTCTTTTATTATTAACTACATTACAAACGAGAATTTATTTAAATATCAAAGATATTCTTATAATTTTCATATAAAACAAAATTATTCGTTGAAGATTGAAGTACTGGGAATCATGAAAAATATGTATTCTTTTAGTCTTTTTTTTTATTTGTTAGTCATTATCACAGTAACGATTTTTGTTCCTAGAAGTAAAAGTTTGATCACGATACTACGACGACATTCGTTCACAAAGTGCTAATAGTCCAGATATTATAAATATCACTGATCTGTTTATTTCTATTTAATTTAATAATTATCGTTTATATGTGTACCATAAATTTCTTCTCACGTTTTCTGAAATCTGTTGATGTAACGAACGGAGGAATCGACGAGGAAGGAACAAGTCTTTATATAATACGCCCACGCGGCCAAGATTAGCAAGTCTCTGTTGATTTTGGCTCGTTCTCGACGAATTCACGTGTTTGCTACGGTGCAAAGACCCTAACGCATCTTTTTTCGGTTCTGTTCGATCATTGTTTACCTCGAACACGAGCAAAATCATTTTAATTCTGTTATCTAAATAAATACAAAAAAAGTGCACATATCTTGGAACATCTTGAGTATTATAGTCATTGCGCAAACAAATTGTTATGTGAAATCGTGAATTATAATCGTAATTAATTGATTTGAATTTTGAAACTCTGAAGGTTGCATAACGACATCACTTCGTTTTCATCCGTCGGTTGTTTCTAACAAAGGATGTTTGTGAAGTGATACAAGCTGATTTTTCTGTAACTTTGCTCAATCGTTTATGGGACCAACCTAAGCATTTTTCCGTGCTTGGTTACTGCTAACTTTAGACTTTAAGGAAGAAACCACCCTTTTTGTTCGAAGCGTCCCTTTCACTTATTCGCTTGTACCTCGTAAACTACAAAAGATATTAAAAGAAAGTTTAAATAAATTTTATATCGTTTTTTATTGTCTATATATCGGTAGGGAAACATTTTCAAAAAAGTATTTTGAAACAAAAAGTTTTATGGGTCAAGGTCAACGATCATTTTACTTATTACTACTAAAGTATGATACGAAACTTTTTTTGATAATAATTTTTTTCAAACGACAATCCCCAACCAAAAACTTCACAATATTACTCTGGGTGATGACCTTCACAACAGATTAAAAAATCATCGAAATCGGAGGTGGCTTCCTTATTGTAAATATGTATCTATCCACCAGCAGCACCAATCAAGTACCGCAAAATTCTTAGGTTAGTCTCATAAATAATTGATTGTACAGTTACAGAAAAATCGGCGTGTATCAGTTTGAGAACATCCCTTGTAAGTGCATCGACCGAAAAGGATATTGAACAATAAAGCGTCAAAATAATCGAAAATAATGATACGACGAGTTATTGTTTGACAATTGTCAGCATCTGGCCTAGAACATGATTAAATGTATTAACAAAATAACACTGCCTGTCGTTTTTTACTTTGTATATACATACTAACTATTTTATGTCCTTGAAGATTGTGAACAGTTATTCTCAAGTAATATTTCTGTATTGACGTGAAATTCATCAAAGAAATAAAAAAAAGTAATTTCGGAAATTCTGCCAAATCGTTCTCCAACATTCCTTGTTAATTTTTCTTTTTTGAAAAGGGTGGGAAGGTGTTTTCAATGTAAACTATGTTACCATTTTAGTCAAAACAAAAATAGTAAATTACTCACTGGTACAGTTAATACATAGAACTGTGTAGGAAACCCAGTTTTTATTTGGGTTCCGTTTATATTACATTTTCATAGCAATTCTTAGAAATCATGTATTATGACATAATGAGGTAAATATTGATTGTTAGGCGTTTGGTCCCCTGGAAGCGAGCCACCACCACCGCCGAAGGAACCAAGTCCCGATCAAAGAGAGTCCGAGAAGAATGCTGGAATTCCACCAGTCTGGACACCTTCTAGCGCTACCGCCAGCCCCGTTCCAGAGAAAAAAGAATTTCGCCCCGTGCAATTCGAAAGTCCGATTCTAAGTCGAAAAAAGCTGCCACAGCAAGAAGTAAGTTAACACCTTCGATTACGTCATAAGTGAACCGAAGATCATTCCGTATACAGAATGTTAAGAATAATCTGGAGCATTGTCACATGGTGGATTCTACGAGGGTCAGTGAAATGAAAACCGTATATTTTAAATAAAAATTAAAAATTTGACGCCACTGTCCTGTAAGTTGGGAATATTGTTGCTAGTAGTGTAAGGAATGTCCAGTAGGTGGCAGAAGAGTGCAAATGAATAAGCGTCGTCATACCAGCAGTACAAAGATGGCCACTCCACTTGAGACATGCACCAAAGAAAAACAGCGTTCTGTTCATAGGCGTAGCCAGGTTATGAGTCAAGAGAAGCAGGTGGGGCAAAAATATTAACACCAGGGACTTAAATCGGTATGATTTTGATACTGATATTATGCCATCAAAGGTATACCGACCAAGGAAAACCGAAATAAATACCGGTATCTTTTCGGTTTCTATGAGGGTAAGGCTTATATAGGGTTATATAGGGCGAAGGTTCAACCGAAAATACCGGTATTTTATGTTTCGGTAGAAATCCCTGATTAACACATTGACTGCCACAGTAAAAAAGGCCGTACGTAGCCAGACAACATTTTATTTTGTTTTTAAAATCATAAATCATTGAAAATGTATGCGTTTTGTTAATAGAGGCTGTTGGTCATGTTTAAAATTATACTGTAATATTAAATATTATACAAAAATGTTGTAACTCAGTGTAGGGAGGGGGGCCAAAATCCAATATTTTCTTGTAGGGTGGGGCAAAAGCCTCGTTTTTCCACAAGTGCTCTCTCCCGCCCAGCCCTAGCTACGCCCATGGTTCTGTTATTAGATTTTTGATAAGTGAAGGTGTAAAACCTATTGAAATTCATCGTCGAATGAAAGCTAAGTATGGTGGTGCATGTTTGTCACATCAGCAAGTGTACGAGTGGAGTAGAAAATTCACAAATGGTGGAAAAGAAATTCTGATCGGATGAAGAGGTACACCGAGGTGCATGACTGGTTGCTGTGCCAACCAAAAGAATATTTTTTCACAGGGATTCAGGCACTTTGTAAGCGTTGGGGAACTTGAACTGAGCGTGGGAAAGATTACGTAGAAAAATAATGCAAATGTGTTTTACATTCGCTCAATAAATTATTTCTAAAAACGTTTTTACGGTCTTCATTTGACTGATCCTCGTACATGCAAAACTAAGACGAAAATCAAGAATGACAAACTTGCGTTTGAGGCTTCGTTTCCGGGTTATTAATTCTTGAAAATACGGGCAACATGTAAATGCCTGCTGCGATGGGTTATACTACTTACAACAGTCGATTCCTAGCTGATACACGACATCGATGACCTAGTTAAACTTATGAATGAAACAACTCGTGGAACACTTGAAGACCGCGCCTCGCAAGTAGAATAACCCTTCGTGTCAGACGTATTTTATGCGTATTGTGTCTGTATTTTCAACACTTAATAACTCGAAAACGAAGCTTTGAACACAATTTCATCATTCTTGATTTTGTTCTTAGTTTTGCATGTAAAATCCATAAGGATGTCCCACATTTTTATTAGCACGCTGTATATGCAGCCTATCAAATCCAAGGAAATTTATGGAGTCTATTGTATATGTATGAAGAATAATATGAATAATTTCAATCATTTTTCCTTCATATATTTTTCAGGTGACACACGAGGCTCCACCGCCCTGGGAAGCAGAAGGGAAAAAGCACACCATAGAAACTAGTTACGACAGCAGTTCCCGAATTGTTAATTCTCATTCAGCCCCGTCGCAAGGATTAAATTCTTTGGCTTCGACGACTCGTTTGCCCCGTGCTCAGAATCCGACTATCACATTGCTACAGAAAGCTCGAGGTAACGATCATAAATTGTTAAGTCTTTGTTTTAATTTGTTATGCGTGACAGTAATAATATTTTGTGTCCGTATGTTAAGAATGTGTAGGATAACCATATGTAATATGGAATATTCGATTTTAAAAGCTCACCAAAAATAGGGAAGCTATTTTTTTTTAATGAAACTAATACCAAAGGACGATAAAATCAATAAATATTCATATGTAAATAGTTAAGTATGTAAAAGTTTAAATTCTTTTTGAAATTATGGATTTTAATGTAAAATAAATTTAATATAATTTGCAATTATGAATTGAAAAATATGATTCAAGAAAATGAAATCTTAAATGGAACATCTAGGAAATTAAACAAAATTTAGAGAATTGTATTTTTTGTTATTAACGATGAATGAAGATATTAAAAACAATATGTAATTTTTTCTCATATATTTGTATCAGAATTAAAATTAATTAATTATACTGTAGATTAATATTAATGATATCTTATATGTATACATTACTTTTATAATAACTAAAATACATATATCTTGACATTAACGTTAGCATTTCTTTCCTTACAATATTTTATACTGATTAAAGTAAACACAACATTATATACGTATTAATATAAATTATATTTTCCTTACGTATTTGTACAGTGATGAACATAGATGACACAAATTTTGTACATACTCCAGTAATTTCTTCTGTGTAATAATTACACAATGAGAGAAAGAAATTGATGATCCTGTGTATTAATGTTAGCGATTTCCTCCTTGCATAATTTCCATCAGAACTAAGCGAAATTCATTGTTTCAGAGGGACAATTACCGAAAGGGACAGCTTATCTAGAAGAAAACGAAACAGTGAAACGTCCACCGAGCGACGAGAGGCCGCTAATCAGTCCAGGTGAAATAAGTGAGTAAAAATATTGATTTAAACGCGAAATTGTTAATTCTTTGCAACCTGCTGCTGTTAACCATTCAAGTTTATCCACATCTCGTTGTCCGTAATCACTCCGTGGTTTCCACGCGTCGACTAATTTTTCAAAGTGTAATGTACTTTCTTCGTGTCGAATAAAATGGAATACACGTGGCTCGATACGTTAGCACGATGCACGCGACGGATCGAAACCGTCAGTTAAATGTTATCCGCGAAACAAAAACGTGTTTGCGCGAGTGTTAACTAAATTTGTGAAGTTAAACTGATGTCCGCTCAGTCTACACCGTGAAGAAAGAGTACGAGAGCGAGCCGGAAACGGAAAGCGAACCGCCGAAGAAGATGGCCGATTTGGGTCCTCGTAAATTCGAGGGTATTGGCCCAACAACTAAGGAGGGTATCCCTCTTGTGTTAAGATCGGTAGGTTTAGTTGACTTGTCGACTGATTCGATATTACCAAGCACAAGTTTTATTTCGAACCTAACTGCCGCTTTTAAAATAAAAAAATCGAATGTATTTTTTTTTTACATATTCTGTTCCTTTATTTCGTCATTACACTACTGGCAAAAAGTGTTGCCTCGTTTGTGCACCAGTGAAAAATTGTCGGAATTCAAAGTATCATAACTTTGTTAATAGTCATAAAAATTAATAGTCGTCAAAATTTGTTTAAATGAGAAGCAAATTAATTTTAAAATAAAATTAGTGTTCAAGCTTTAACTTTATGAAACATTGAATTTCGACAATGTTTCACTAGTGTACAAGTGAGGAAGTACTTTTTGCCAGTATGGTAGTTTGGTCTGGTTCAAATTTCATTCGATGGACAATGTTGAGCGTTACGAGACATTTGAAGATAATTGTGGTTACAACAGGGTACTTCGTTTATCTTGACCGTAATTCATCCTACTAGGGCAGTCAATTCATATATTAGGTTATTTTGTGTAATAAGTGTGGTTTTTAAACTGCAGGGTTCGAACGATTATGACTTATTTTGAACAGACAATTTTTAATCGGAGAAAGATCCACTTGGGTCGACAGATTTTTACCAACGAGTCACAAGCCGCTCAATCACACGTTAAATGATTCTTGGGTACATAACATAAAGTGCATTGAAAGACGACATTTATTATGCAACAACCTAATATTATACTTATACAGACTCCTGTCGATTATCGTCCCGAACTCGAGTCCGCGCCGGGACAATAATCTTATAAGGAGAAATGCTTCAGACCCTTGTAAATTCGTTTTTTTTTATGCCCGAGCTTCGGCAAGAAAAGCGGAGGGGCAACAAAGTCTACCTTCGACAGGTTTCACGACCTCCCCCCCCCCCTTCCTCCTCCTCCAAGTGGTGGGGACAATGCTTGGACAATAATCGTGTAGAACAAGCCAGATGATAATCGAGAGGAGTCTATATTGGATGCTGTTCAGACACTTTAAGTCCGTTCAGATAATTTTCCACTTCCAGATAAGTGGACAATATGTATAGAGGAAACTCGTGAATTTTTTTTGCCGTACCAAATTTTTAGAAGGCTTTGGTATTTTCAAATTTAGAGAAATTTTTAAAGAAATACCAAAGCAGTTACATAGGCGTAAAAATTCGAGCGGAGCATTGTTGGATTGAATAGATGAAAACGCCATTGGACTAAAAAGAACTTAAAGGCTGTAGAGAAGTTAATAATCATGAAGAAAAAGGTTGTTTACACTGCTGTCAGTATTCTTTTTATTAACATTTTTTAAGTGGACAAAGTGAGTAAAATTGCCTATATACGAGGGACGTTCACGTCAAAACCGGAATTTCATTTTTATACAAATGAAGAGACAAAATTGTGACCAATAAAGACTATTTATGTTTCAACATAATCTCCATTTACATTATAGCATTTTCCCCATCGACGTATTAATGCGTTAATATCAGCAGAATTCAAGAATTTGCGCTAATGTGTGAACCACATTAATACAGTACTGTGGCATCTCAGCCTCGTCTTCCAGAGTTGTCAGAAGCAGACTCGCGCCCTTCTTTAAACCGTGCACACAATTCGTACACCTGTGTCTTCTTCAGAGTTTGTCCTCCAAGCTATGCTGTTAGTTTTTGTAAAATTTCAGTGAGTTTGACATCTTTGTTCACAAGAAAGTGAATAGTGATACGCTGCGCAATAGCTGCAATGGGTTTGTCGTTCGCCATCTTAAATAACGACTACATAATAAGGTTGTCATGACAACTACTAATACTTTGAGAACGTTAATGTGAACGTATATCATTGTAAATTTCACATGCTTCGTGTAAAGATAAAGGCAGTTGGTTCTTACTGAAGTAAATTCCAGTTTTTATGTAAATGTCTCTTGTAGGTTAACATTTACAAGTTTCTTTTCATGAACTTTCATACGGATAAAACAATTGTAATACTCTATATATTAGTATGAATAATATCCACATACATTTTCAATGAGATCAGCTTAATATCGCTAACACTGTTAATTGCATAAGTATTTCGTAAGCAGATGAGAGAAATGATATCACTGTCAATGGATCGAATGTGTATTTTTATTATATTCTTCCTTAAATGGTACAACGCAAAATATAACACCCTTTATAGAACAAATTATATTTCTACAATATTTAAAAAAGGTGAATGACTCTGCTGTCTTACAAAACAAACGACACACCCTGTATATTAATATTCCCTATGAGACTCAGCATTGTCCTTGGCGTTTACTTTTATACAAAATTAAGTTGGGTAAAATAATTCGCGGGTTTTTAAATCGAATAACAGTAATTATTATCTCTTATTTTCGCGCATTCGTAATTGAGTAAAATCGTTTTAGGAAGTGAAGGAGAATAACCAAACAAAATGGTACAAGAAAATGTACGACTCATTGCATCGCGCGGAGAAAAACGGTAAGTTGTCATACATTTACTATTTATAATACAATTCTAGTATTATAGTTCAAGTATACCAAGTATTATAGTTCAATTATATCTGGTTCAAGGAATAACAATAGAGAATTCCAGTCATTGCTCTGAATGAAAGCTCGTTCGTTACAGAAAATAATAGTAGTAGGTAACGATAAGTAATCCACTATTTTTGCCAAATTGGATATTTATTTATTGTGCTAAAAATATTCGCCGTTACTCTTCAAATTACGTAAGATTCTTTAAGCGGAAGTAGGGGGTATTTTAAAATCATTTCAATGTCAACATCTTGTTAAAGATAAAAGTAGTAAATTACTTTTCAGTGTACCTAATTTTTATAATAATTTTGTAAATGATGATGAGAAAAAGCAGATCGCGAGATTGATTTTCACTCTAATTTTCAGATGATTACGTAACCATTCGTTACAAACCAAGAAGAGGTGAATACATACACACGCATCGAGCTCCAATATTGCAATAGCAAAAATACTAACGATAACGCAGCTTATCCAAATTACTTAACATCCCACGAGAATGGTCACGCTCGTCAGTGTCTTGTAACTAATTGTTAATGCGTGAAAGTAACCAATAAATAATTTATACAAATAATATCCTTCTTCATTTTAACATCCTGCTAACAGTTAATGTTCCTTACAGCTTTGTGTTTAATTCACAAATTTATGCAACGAAGTGATTCTTGTCGTTTGGATCGTACGCAGATCAGCCGACGACGACAGGATCCACTTGAACTTAAGTTTGATAATGAGCTATATTATGCATGAATTAAGCTATTTTAAAATTATTCTTATAAAAAGCTACATTATTTTCTTTCAAACTGAATAACTTTTAATATTGTTTGTGGTTTGTATGATGAAATTTCGTATATTTTAAATACAAAAATTATAGTAAAGAATTAAATATATAGTATATATTATGCAATTTTACAATTTATATTGTTTTATAACTAATTTTCCTATTTTCTGCTTTGCACTAAAAAATGATAACGATAAAATTACATTTAAATTAATATTCTTATTTCGAGAACCGAAATTATAACACAGAGGCAACTTGAGAAGTCACGATACCTAGTTGTTTGTTAGAAATTTAGAGTTGTTTCTCATAGTCAGTTGTAACAGTTTTATTTTTCTTTCTTAACAATGAATTTAGGACTTAATGCATATAGTTATTTATAGCTTCTCGGTGATGGATGATGTTTAACGTATTCAAACGTGTAAACGTACGTTTTCTAATGAACTGAAATTTCATATATTTTCAGGGACGAGGTACGGTTACGGAAGTGGTTACCTAAGCGAACCGGAACATCGCTTGTACTCGGAACGTTCTGCAACGATTGATAGCCATCGACGCCTGCGCAACAAGGAAAATGACTTCTCCACGTCTACTATGCCCAGAAAGTAAGGAATACAGTTTATATTTAATTAATCTTAATATTTAATGTTTCAGCCGTTCATTCGCCAAAGTGTAGTAAAATTCAAAATATGGAGTTAGTCATTTTGGTCTGTGAACGGCTCGTTTATAAATATCGACCATTATTGATACTTATTGAAAAAATATAAAATAATATTGGATTGATCAGAAATTATCAATTGGCACTAATATGTTTTTCGCATATTATAATTCTAGAAAATTATAAATGGAATTGAAAAAAAATATGAATCTTATTATGTCTATTAATATTAATAATTTTTTCCTTACATATGAATTTTTTATATTATATTTTTCCTTGGTAAATGTTTTATCGTAAATGTTTTTATTGTGTACTAATATCGGTCTGTATTTTCATAATGATTAAAATAAATAAAACTGTTTTGTGCACTCTTATACTATAAGTGCTTATAGTGTATGAAATGCTTGAAATAGTTACCTACAAAATACGTATTTGAGGTAGAAATTCATGACATTAATATATTCTATTACGTTAAAATATTATGCGAATGTAGGATAAAATTATTAATGTTACTATAATATAGTGAGCCTGTTCATATACATTACATTTCAGTATCCTATTCATTTACATGTCATGAAAAGAATGACTGATTAATGATATTAATAATTATAAAATTCAAAGTCATAAGGTGTATCATTAAAAATATTCCAAACTTAAAAACTTCTGCGTAAAGAATGTAAAGAAAAACTATGGTGGAAGTTGTTTGACTTTTATAATATGCGTTTAATTGTAACATTACTAGTTTATAATTAATTGGGGATCGTCAAATTAGCCGAATTAGTCCGTGGTGATCAATTCTAACTATAAAAGGATAAGCACCGATCAATTACTTTGGCACTAAAATTTGAAAAAATTCAAAAAGTCGAGCTAGTCATTTTGACCTCTGAATGGCTTATACATATAAAGAATTGTTGCTAACTGAAATTTGTTTAAATTTTAGAAATGGAACGTTGAAGTTTTCTTCAGACGTTTACAAGAATCAGCCAGGACGAATCGAGGACTACGAGCCAGGACGATCGTCTATCGCCGAAAAGGAAGCCAAAGAGGTAAGCATATTATGTCCTAGGAAAACTGACGCATTCTCTCGTGAATTCATTGGTTTAAAACAAAAGTTCACTAAAATCACCTGAGAAAAACCTAATAATCAATCTAAACGTGTGACTGTCAATATTCATTCAACTCGCAAGAATTAAACCATACGTCCTTCTTCTCTGTACATAATATCTCCTTTCCCTAATTCCGCCATATTGTGCACGTTATTCGAAATCGAATTTATTCGATCGAATTTCGAGACATTTCGAAATGCAAACAGTGTGTCTGAAACATGATCGTCTGACATGGCTTTGCTTCTAGCCGACTTTTGTCACACGGACCAGAAGGAAGGTAACGATCAATCGAACGATTGAAATCAGTTTACGAAGCAACCGCAAACTCGTTTTCTCCGTTTTTCTCGGGGCTTCTTTTCTTCGCGAGACTGTCTTTCAACGTTTCTCGCTGAGACCTATACTCTCGTAATTTCTCGATCACTTCCTCGGTTTTTGGTTCGCTTCAGTAGCGCTGCTTCTAGTGATCATTTGTTGAGAGGCTGACTTTACTTTCCGTCTAATAACGATTTGCTCTCTTCGAGATTTCCACGGTACGAGATATTTAAACTCTACTTTTATTTAGTGTCAAATTTTTAAAAATTATTTTCTTATCCACTTATATGTTGTCACGATGAAAAATTTAGATGGAAAGTAGTCACCGAATACATTTAATCATTCAGTTATATGTTTTCTTTTTTTAATTTTAATGTCATTTTAACCTTTCACTCGATTAGTGCGTATATTAACGCCTTATTAATTCTATGTTTCTAGTGGTGGGACGAGGTCATGGACATATTTGACGGGGTACGCCATTTTTACATATACTCATAGTTAATTAAGAGTATTAATTTTTTGTTGCCATACTTTCTCTTCATCCTATGTTTCCCTTTTTACTCTATTATTTATTCTATGTTTACAAATTGGTAATTCATATTTAATTTGGTCATATTATGAAAATTATGAGAAGAGGACTAACAATAAGATCTATTCCATTATATTTGTGTATTAATTTGATGAATTCGCTTCCTTTGCATTTGAGTTGGTTAAACAATAAATTAAAATAAGTCATCTAACGAAATATTTGTGTGAAATGAAACAGTTGATAATTAAAATTACATTAAGAACTCGGTACAGTTTAGAAATATCATTTCCATTCTTTTCAAATTTGTCAGTATAAAAAGTAGTCGCGTTTTTATCGACAGAAGAAATACATAATTTCAATAATTAAGATAAATAAATCAGAGCGACGCTGAAAATGTTTAAGTCATAGATGTTTATTTCCGTTTGCATAAATATTTATTTTTCACTGCAGATTGTTACGTAAAATTGAATTAGAGATTCAATAAGGATTGGAAATACTATTTAGTAACAATTCTGAACATACTTCTATCGTCTTCAGATTTCAAGTATTAGAATTGTTGAACGATATAATTAACAGCTTTTCGCGGTCTAACTAATGTCACCATTTCCTGTGTCAGTTATCCAAACATGCATGCTAATTCGCTTGGAGTACTATACAAGAAACCGTCTCAGTTTGTTTGATAATAATAATACAAATAAAAAAAAGCAATAATATTAAAGAAATTGTGAATAATATTCATCCTAATACAAAGTCGTTTGTTCTCGTCTGCAAAATCTAATCTTCTACCAATCATATACATATACTATTGAACAACAAAATAGTTATTCATTTCACGCCTGCAACTAAGGAAGCGCTTCAAAACATTCCATATATGTAAAAAATTAATTATTAACAAGTTAATTAGTATTTCGTTGTAAGGTTATTTTTAAAATTCTTTCTTGTAGAGCAAAGTATTTGTAAAAAAAAGTGGAAAAATAGAAATATGTGTTTATAAACATATATTTATATTTTTGCACTTTAAAAATAATTTCCAAGTAGGATAAAAATTTATTCGAAAAGATTATAGAATAGACAAAAATGAAATGTTTTGTTGCGTTTCTTGCGAGGAAGAAGTGAAATGAAAAACTAATTTCTTTTATTGCTGAACATATACTACTCATCTAATTCGCGTTTCTACTATGCACTCGCACAAGGAAACAAGGGGAGTTCAAATTTCAATTTTCTGTAATCCAAAATCTCACGTAAGATTCCCTTCGAGCATTTGTGTGAATACACAAGAAAAAAGCGAATTATGTGAGCTGTGTGTACAATGCCTTTTAATGATTCATATTGTCAATAGTCCGTAGCAGTTTCGAATTTCTAGACGGGTAGCTACCAAGAACCTTGTTTCTGTAACAACACGACTCATTGAGAGGTTTTATACTGCCTTTTTCTTAATCAATCTTAAGTTCAGCAAACGAACTGAATAATTAATATTTGGTGAACTATCTTTCTATAAATATATTCTTCAGTTCTAAAATCTATATGGAAATTGAAGAAGAAAGTGCATCACTTTTGTTGATTTAATTCATTGAGCTTTGGAATTCGACTCGGTGATTAATACATCATAATGATTCGAGTTGTTACTAAAATTTCTTTCATAAGAGTTCGTATTAAATGATGATGTTAATAATGTCATGTCTCGGAAGATAATCCTAAGGTCATATCCCACACAGCTTCCCAATTTCTATCACAGAAATCATTTTGCAAATGATAATAGTAACGGGATCATGTTCCTAGCACCTCCTAACTACTATCACACAACCTGCTATTAAACGATGACGAAGTTACCAGCGTCATGATTTAGCAAATGGTGCTAGCTTCATGTCCCTAGGAATAAGACGATATATTTTGAGAGATTGTACACGTTTTGTGATCGATGTCCGTGTGTTTGTGTGTGTGTCTTCGCTGTTTGCGTATCGTGTACATCTTCAACGTTCATCTGTGGTCTGTGGATGACGACCAATCACGCTGGTACATCACTAACAACCGGACAGTGGTTGCACGACAACGGACATCCTCAGGGTACAGGGTTGGAGGATCTTCGGAACGGACAGCTGAGCTATCGTGGTCTCAGTGACAATGTAAGGGTATCAGCGGTCAGCAGCTCGAAAGCCCTCGAGGTCGTCCCTAGATCTTGTCCAACCTTAGAGGAATCCTTTCATGTCGGTATCCATCATGCTAAACCACGAACGAAACAATGGTCGAGCAACAGCGTGCTCGATCGTTCACGACTAATTAATCTCGAACGAAAGAACGAAACCGTCAAGGACGATCCCTGGAAAGATCGGATCCAACGACCTCTTGATCGGGCTGCCGACTGCGTCTGGCACGCTGGCATGTTGGAAGGAAGATCCAAGAGCTTCGTGCTACCGGATCGTTGCTTGCATCGTTCGAACTCGCCGATTCACGAGAGATCGGTGATCCTGCAGGCTACCAGCGACGAACACCATCGTCATCCCCACCATCATCATCTCTACCACCATTATCATCACCATCGTGTCTCGCCTACTTCTTCTTCTTCCACGTCTTCTTCTATCTCTAGCAACAATCATATTATGATACCCTCACCATTAACGGCGAAACCTTCTCTTCTTACTGGAAACATTTCACGGGTTAGAGGCTGCAGTCATCGTCAAGTAGAGTGCACGATGATGTTGTCTCCTCAATCGTTATGTTCTGATTGATCTATCGGAAAGTTCTGTACGGTTTTCTCATGGTACGAAATATTACGAGTAACGGTCGAAGTGAAATTCAAAGGTGAAGTTTTCAACGGTTACATTAAAATGCCAAATGACGGTCTGGGTTAGGTCGTATCGTTTAAATTTTGACGGATGACTTCAAATTCAAATTTTATGATTGCATCGCAAATTGATAATATCAATTAGTATTCAATGTTCAATTCAACTGCAAAATATAAGTTGTAACAGTCAACTATGAATTTTATTTGCAACAGTTACATTCAAATTTGAACTTCAGTCGTCAAATACTGAATTGTCTAATCGAAGCTGTTATCCAGTTGAATTCAAAATTGTCTTTAATACATCGTATCTGGACTCATTTGTTGAAATTAGAAAAATTTCTGTTTGTATTCATGAACAGTTCTGATGAACTATTCAAATTTCAAATAAATTAGTGATATACACCCTGATGCGTGTCCATCGTATCCCAAAACCACTCACATTTTTTAAGTTATTATTATAATATATGTATGCTACAAAATACGCTGGTATATAAGAAAGCAATCTTTGACAGAACTTTCCCGTAGATTTAATATATTCTTCTTTCTTCTCTCTTGTTTTAGTTTCTTCGTCGTTCCCTTTAATCTGTCGAATGTGTTATACACAATTTCAGTAGTGTCTCTATCTCGTCTCTCTATCGATGTCCACACACGATACTCTCGTTCTTCTACCTTCTCTCTATTCTGTCAGACATATTACTCAAACCACGTTTTATTTGCTCTTTCGATTTCCAACGCTTTGCATTAGCCGAATGTCGCATGTTTTATGGATACATTATCGATTATCCGTATCTGCCGACAATTTTCTTCTTCTTCTACACAGAATTACACTTGTTCCTATCGATCACCGGAAGCATGATCTACGCGTTGAAGCTGAAAATTCATTAAAAAACGATTGAATAAATCTTTTATTCATTTTTGCTTGCAGCCGTTCGATCAACGCGACAATCGTCCAGCGAAACCGTATATGACACAGTAAGTGAACACGCTGTTAGTTTAAATAATTTACTTCGTTTGGCGTTTGAGAAGAGATTGATTTTTAAAAAAGAAGTATCCGTATTTTTTAAACACTGTGTATATTCTTAAATAAACACTCTTGTCAAAGAGTTACAAACTTGTTGATACCATATTTAATAATGTCTACATATAATTTATTTATGCAGCATATCATGCAACTTGTGGTACAGCCAGGTATGGCGTGATTCTTTGTGAAAAAAATAGTCGAAAATATAGAATAAAAATCTGCTGGATACACGTGCAATTTAGTAGGACTTGGCTAGCGTGTCTGATGATTGTATTCCGTTTCTACTAACTATCATGAATACACACGTTTTAGATTAATTTTCAAAGTTGATTTTCTCGAAAACAAACTCTCAAATGAAAAATAGTTAACCTACATTTTCGACTTATTTTTTTCACGTGGAATCACCTCCTACCATCAGTTAAACATCTACTTATTTTCAATTTCGTAAATGTACAGATACGTTTTATTGCTTTTTGCGAACAACTTTCTCCTGGAACTTTTTGAACAGAGTAAATATATTCATGGAAGTACATGAACTGAGTCTTTCTAAGTAAAATAGTTTACAGAATAATTGTAGCAAATACGAGAACGATGTTTCAAAGTATTGTTATTTGTTTCCAGTGCTCTCAAAGAATCTGGCTACGAAAGTGACTCGACGCTGGTATTCCGTCGCAAAGAGGATATAAGTCCACTGAGCCAACTCGAACAAAGATTGGCTTACAAAACCGTGCAGAGCGGTGGTGACGTACCCCTTCATGGATTCCGCAAACCAGCCCCTGAACGGCCGAAGGGTGAGTCATTCAAAATGTTCTTTGTTCGAAATCGTTTTTATTTTTTTTTTAAATTAATCTTAAGTTTTTTTTATTTTATGGTGTTGTTTGATATTATGCAAACAGGCATGTACGCATAAAACTGCTCGTTTCTGCCTGATGTATTATCGTTCTGTGTGTTATTACTAACTGTAGATACGTTTGATTGAATCTGTGCATGGATATTTTTATGTCACTGATTTCGTTTTATCTCGCTGGAGACATACTATTTAAGCAACACGTACCAACTATGAAAACAGTTCTTTCGATCTCGGAAATAAAGATCAAAGTTTTATTCGAAATATAATAATATCTTCTTATCCGTAGGCTGGTAGAAACAACTATTAAATTCTCTAGTTTTACGCAGGGTGTTCTATTTATCTTGACCATTGTGAAAAGATGAGGACATCTGTTATTAATATATTCACGTTCTTATGAATTTCATGCCCTACAATCAATTAATATAAAACAAAATGTTTCTTTATCCACCACATTTGCCCCTTCGAACAATACAACTTTAATCTTCAACATATTCTTCTATCCTCAATTTCAACAGAAATACATATGTAGGTGTTTTGTTTTTCGCGACTCACTCTGTATACTTTTAACGTAATCGAGTTCCTATCGATATCAGTATGCATATTAATATCTCGAATTTTTCACATACTTTGTAAGAATTCTAGAACATTTAAACATTCTGTACATATTTCATGTTTATCGTGTTCAACTCAACATCTATATCAATAGGTATAACATATGTACAAATTGTAACTGCATTAAATATTTAAGAAACCGTTCATGTGCCACGGCAAATAAAACATCCTGTATGTTAACCCGTATAATTTCTACGTTTCATACTTTTTTATCGATGAAAATAATTAATTAGTAAGTTCTTCTTTCGATGTTTGTATGCTGATCGGAATAAATAATACTGTACTTTCCTAGAACAAATTCATATTTTAAATACTTCGCAGAGTCTCATCAAACTATATATATGTGTGTGTCGCTTAAATAATGATCCTTGTTAGAGTTACACTTTGTGCCTACAAGCATGACGTTTTTCGTGTCTCTGATGATGACTATGGTAATAAACCAGAATATTATCCAACGCTGCTTATAACCTTAGCTAGTCCAGCTTCCATTTTTGATGCATATTTTTCAACCTTACAAGTCACACACAGCACCGCTCGCCTCGGTATCTATTGATATTGGTGTCCAAAATTTAATTCTACTCAAACCTTCTAAATACGATGCACACGCAGTTATTATCATCACCAAGAGGAACAATTCCAATCTTCACGCTGCGTTGGACGAAAAATTTCAGCATCACTAGCTTTAAAAACCAAAAACAAAAAATATATTTTTCGGTGAGAGGGATCCAGGAATTTCACACGATTCCACAAAAACGAAATGAAAACTTTGTCCACAGACAGCTCAGGCGTCGAATATTTCCCTATTTCGGCCACTCTGACGCGTATCCGCGTTCACCGGAAATCATCGGCGGCATCTTCAACGAATACATTGAAAAGGACTTCCGTCGTTTCGAATTCGACCAAGAAAATGAATAGTTCCCGAGTTCCATTGAGGCCACCGTCTCCGCCTCGAAGACAGTCCTCGCGAAACAACAAAACTCTGAAGATGTATGCCAAGCAACAACCAAAAGACAATATTCAGACTCTGAGGTCGAGACACAAACAATGTTTCGCCGCTGACAAGTTATCCAATATTTCGTTCAGCCTGGAAAGGAACAAAAAGGGTCGTGAAAGTTTACAGAGCCCCACCTTCAGCAGTTCAGGCTTGAAAACTGTTGCAGCGAAGAAATCTGAAGCCTGCCTGAAGAAAGACACCCCAAGGACACGTCCGTCGAGCAAGAGACTAGGAAAATCTGGTGACACGATCGAAAAACCTGCTTCAACTGGCAGAAACGTGGTTGCGCATACTTCAAAAATCTTGAATGACAAATCTACGAAGGCAACGGTGTTATCGAAATGTCAGAAAGTTGTTAAGAAGTCGATTGATTCGCCTTTTACCACGAGAACATCGACATTATCGTCATTGAAGTCCTCTGCAACAGTGTTCGCAGATGCAAAGCCATCCAGAGCAGCGATCAAGCAATCGAATAAACTGGTTTCGAGCAGGGACTGCCTACATTCCGTGACATCTTCGTCTTCTGAAGCAATTAGTGAAGCAAGTAGAAGAAAAAGACTCCTGGAGAAGCCTCAAACTATCGTCCGATCAACCGTACGCAAGCCTGAAACAATCCACGTTAGTCCGAGTAAGAAGATCGAAACAAAGAAAAAGAAAGATAAAAAATTGATAAATCCAGAGTCGAAGAATCCGAAGAAAGAGAACATCGAAAATGTGGAGCCCAATATCAGGCAGAAACCATCAAAAGATGCGTTCTTTCAGAATCTGTTCCTAAGATCTGTGCCTCCGACACAAAGCGTCTCGAAGAGATCCATAGTACACGAGCGCGCTAGAATCTACCAGGAAAACGCAAAGGAGACTTGCAAATCAGAGCCATCTTTGAAATCTCTGAGCATTTATCTATCCCACAAGCGTCCCGTATCGAACTCGAGGTTCAAGAATTGGGAGGATATCTCTTCCATCAATAAGTTTGAGGAATTTGGATCGTCTACAAATTTGAGAAATCGGAGTCCAGATTCGGTGAAGATCAAGGAGAGAAGTTTGAGCGAGCCACCACTGAAGCCGGAATCCGGAGAATCCTCTTCTGTGATCAGATCAGCAGCCTGTCGACGTCTACGGAGCCTAAAGCAAGACAAGTCTGACGTTCCTAGGGCTAGAAGCGCCGAAGGACACCAGGAAAGATCGAAACTGGGATCTTGTTCATCGTTAACGAGAAGTTCAATGTCTTTAACACCGGCTGATCGCGAAGAATACCATCAGTATGTACTAGGATTGTTGCACGAAAGAAGGAAGTCAGAGAGGTACAAAGAGTTACACGACTTCTATTCCAGTCTCGAGAGACTCGGGGAGCTGGAGAGGACCTTCTCGTCTAGCGATTTGGCAAGAATGAAAAGCGATGACATAGTAGATTACGATCGGTGGAGGAGGGTCAGGACTCAGGAGAAGGCTGAGGTTGAGATGAGTAAGCTTTACGGGAAACTGAAAGCTGTCCAGAGAGACAAGGATTTTCTGTTCAGTACTAAAGACCTAGACAAGCTGAAGTGGAAAGGTGATTGGGGCCTGAAGTGCAAAGAGCGCTCGGTAGATGATATTGTGCAGAGATTGAAGAAGCTGTCAATTGAAAACTCGGAATGTTCAAAACGGAAAGCGACTGCAGACGCGTACAAACCTCTCTGGAGAGGCAGGTCAGTGATGAATGTTGCGAATACGATGCAGATGTCGACGAATGAGGGGCAAAGAAATGAAAAATTGGATCATCTACAAAGGAGTCTTGGAGGCAGTAACAAGTTTTGGAGTAGCTTGTCCATCGAGCAAGTGGCAACTTTGAAAAAACAGTTGAATGAAATTTATGGCAGCGATCAACAGAAACTTACATCCTCCAAGGTGGATCCTGTCGTCGTCGATGTTCCAGATTCTATTTCAAAATACGAAATTGTAGTGCCGGAGTCAACCAGCGGTTCTCGCGACGACGGTAAAGGATTACACGTGCGATGCCATTCGATGATCGCGTCTGATCCAGGTCCAAGCGATTTGAAGTTGTCATATAGTTGTCCAGAGTCTCGAAAGTACCCAGAAGAATTACGTAAAACTCCGGCGAATCAAACAACGATGAGTGAATCAGAGAAAAGGCGACTTTCAGTTACCCTTGGAAGGGAAGTCCTGGACAGAGTGTCTCAGAGGAGGCTGTCAGTAGCGTTAACTCCTCGAGAGACTCGCGGCAGCGTAGCGGCCATGTTAGCGACACAGAAAACCCCAAAAGAACACTGTCCACCGAGTGTAACGAGCACTTCACCGAGAAGTTGCTACTCTCTCGAAGCTGAAGACTTTTCGAAGACTAAGAACGACTTTCTCTTAGTTCTGACGCCTAGCAACAGGAGCCCGGCGGACAGACAGCGGGTAGAGAGTGTCCTGGAGGAATGGTCGAGGAAACCACCGCTTCTGGCGATCGCATTACCTCAGAACAACGACCAAGCGAAGACAGTTAACTCGAGTAGCGAGAGGGATAGTACAACAGAGAGCTCCGAAACATCAGTGAAAACAGTGATCCAGAAGAGTATCCAGCCAGAGGAAGTGCCGAGAAAAGTTGAATTCTTCGAAAACGTTAAAACAGCGACCTCTCCTCAAAGAACGAAGCCAGCCAGATTGTCTTCATCGCAGAGTTTCGCTGATTTGAAAGAACTTTTCGGCGAAATAGAGTCAGCCAAGTTTGCAACTCTGCCTGGAAAGAGGCCGGGAAGCAGGCCAGGGGAGCCGAATGCCAGCACGCGACAGTTTCGTTGCTCACGAGACCGTGAACGCGACAGACCACACAGCGTCAGTCCGTGTCGCGGTACCACGCGGTCTAGTTCGTCTTGTAGCCTAGAAAGTGTTTATCAGCGAACTTGCTCGCCGGATCCAGGCAAATATTGGCGCGCCTATTTAAAGCTGATTAAGAATGGGACTGTGAAGCGACTGAGGGTCAAGTTCGAGAGCGCCGAAGATCTTTCCAGCGGCAACGTTCAGACGCCAAAAAGATTTCGTAGCGATCCTGAGCTGGCGCGGAGTATCCTGCGCAAGGTGGACCAGTGTAGAACATCGAGGGCTCGGGAGTTAGCGGACGTGGCATGGCTGAGAAGGAAATACGAGACCAGAAGAGGCAGGAGGGGTGAGTCTCCACCGATTCCACGTGTTCCGCTCAAAAAAGAAGACTTATCGATGCCTCATATCGACGTGATCAGCAAAACAGCTGAACTGAAAGACTCGTTGGGTTCTGCGACCGTTAGCAATGGTCTGGCAAGGAAAGCAGAAACGGAGGAACTGGAGGCGAAGAAGCCTGTTTGTCGTATGAGGAGGAAGTTCGAGAAGTTTGGCCAGAAGACTTCAATATTAGGTGAAATGTTCACCTCGTCTCCTGATGTCCATGAGTTGAGAGATATAGCTCCGTATCTGGCTGGACGTTGGGTAGCTCATAGGTACCCCAATCGAAGAGATAATATGCGCTCGTTGTCCTCACCGCCGGATCTCGCTGGAAGACAGTCTTCTTCAAAAAGTAACGCCCATCAAAACGCCAAGCAAACAGAGATTAATGGAGAGAAGAAGTTGGGACGACTGCGAGTTGCTCCAGCCAAGGATTCATCGAATCAGCAGTTTGATCCTGACAAGCACAGACCTAGGTTTAGGTACCAACCACCTCCGCCGCCATCCTCAGGATCCTTGCGTCAGAATCGCAGTTGGTGCTCGCCAATTCCGATCTACACAGCCCGACCCACTGTCACCTTCGAAGGTCTGAATGGTAGATTGTAAACGGTAGCTTCTGCAAAGTATCGATATTCGATTTTTTTTTAAATAACCATTTCGTTCTTTATTTCGATTTATTCTGTGACTACGCGGTGTGTTGTGAACACAGTAACTAAGTGTCATGACGATGTCACAGTTAGGACGATCAAAATTGCCTGACAAACAATAAATATTTTTCCTTGAAAAATATTTATTTACAAGATAGATACCTAGTTATTCTTTTGTTTATTTTTTCGTTCGGTAGTTGTACTCGAATGAAATGTATATGTTGAGGATTCCACATTGATAGACAAAATAATCACTCCAAGGAGCACAGTTACTAGATTACAGTTTATGTACTTATTGGATTTCACGATCTCTTTATATTCGAAGAAACAAAGTTACTGGATTTTAATTTTTCATTACGTTTCATGTAGCAGTGATACTGGAATCTAAGATTTTACTAGAATCCAATTAAAACAGTTACCAGATAAATACCAAGTTTTCATTGAATTCCACTCAGCACAGTCAGTTGATCCTACGTAAAAACACAACAAAATCGGTGAATGTGCATTCTCCTCGATTCCTTGTTGATTCATTAAAAGTTTTCCAAGTGCAATTAGACGTTCAAGTTTGCGTCCAAAGAAGGAAAGATCACTCCGAGACACCGATATCGATCGATGCCGAGCAATAGAGTTCTTCATTAACCAAAAAGTTCGTCGAATGTCCACAGTGATGCTCCATGGCGAGTGATTTTGGGTTCGTTTGTTGACTGTAGCGCGGCTAATTATTATTTTCCTTTTTTTTCGGCCATAGAATACTCGATCGCACCCCCGCCGCCACCAAAATCTCAACATCACAGAGACGACAGCCAAGGTAACGCTAAATGCTGATCATTTCTTCTTTTTTTTTGTTGTTATTTATTAAATAGTGTACTTAACATGGTACTGTGTCGATCGAACTCACAACGAAAATATTACGCAAATGTGACGCGTAACATTGATAATGAAAGCTTCTTTTATTGTACGAGAAATGTGTTATCAAATGCCAATGCAAACGGCTGAACGAATAATTCTTGCCGTTCGTACCGTAAACCGGGGAATTACGAGTGGCAAGTATTATTTCGAATACTTTCAGCATACAACATACGTGTTATTCATTTTTATATTAAATCAAGAATAATCATCGAGATGCTTTTAAGTAACTGTGCATAGCTTACGTTTTTTGTGCGTTTTATATCATCCGAGTTATTTTTGTGAAGTGTAACTGCTCCAGAAAGAAACAGAGCATGAAATTTGCTCGCTACGCATGACATAAGACGCCATCTTTTATGTTATGCGGTAGCGGAAGTGATTGTTTGGCAATGAATGAAGCATGTACAAGTGTACGAGGCATGTAGTATTTCGTATAGAAGTATTTGTTAATGAAAAAAATAAAACGTAATAGAATTGTACGAACATGAATGGGACGATCTCACGATGCAAAGATAAAACGTAGAAATCTCTCAAGTACTATAATTTTATGTATATAGGACGTATCATTTGTCTTGAACTGTAATGTAAAAAATGAGGAGAAATATTAGTATTTGTAGAGAAGTTATCAATAACTTCATCTGCAAATATGTACTTTGTAAGTGAACAAAATAAGTTGAAACGTGAATACATGGACAATATACATATACGGGGAACTGTGTATATTAAAATCAGTAATTTTGTTTTAATATATGTATGTAACTATCCGGCTCATGTTTAGTACCATACATATTATCTCTAATATTTTACATAGTAAGTAAGCAAGATAATTAAAACACCCCGAAGACACGTCAATTTTGATAGATTGTTAGGCATAAAACATTCTGCACACTAATATCCCTTATGGTGATAAAAAATTATGGAACGTCCAAGATATTAACATTAAACATTTCTTTGAATACTTCATTAATGAACGACGTAAATAATACACATTTTGTATTAGTTGTACGTAAAATAATAGGCGTTGAATTTAAGTTGGTTTATTTTATTTTATCCACGAGGAATTCAATTTTTGCCAGAAACGTCACAGAAAGTTATGAACAACGAGGAGAATTGTTTGGAGTCATAGATAGTGCATCAGCTATTCTCTGAAGCATACACATTAATGTCAACTGCTTTGTCCTCGCACATTTGCTGTAGCAGTCCAGTGAAATAAACGATCTTGTTAGTCGACGGAATACATGAAACGCTCTGTACACGTATTATCAAAGCAGCGCAAGGTTGATTCATGGAAAGGAAACCTTGACAGTGTTGAACTCTCAATTGAACTTCATCCGTCATTGAAATCATTCGCGTTACAAAAATGGAGTGAATCACGTCACGATATCGATTGTGTACTATGGACTTATCTAATCTCTGGCAACGATTGATAACGCTTCGCACGTCTCGCTCTATCGTTTGGAATATTCATTTCGCAAAACTTGGTCGAACGTATTCAAATTATTAATTCAAACTAATAGTCTAGTTAATTAAAAAATAATAAACAAAAACACGTATCCATTCAAATTATTGCTAACATAATAAACTACGGATATTCCTGTATATTTCTTTTCCCTTGGACCGTATTACAAAAATCAAAATTAGAAAATATTCATTTTTTTGAGACATCATTTATTTACAATAAAACTGTGATCTTTATTAATTATTAATGCTTCTGTTTCGTTGCTAGGAGTGAAATAAGGGACTTGTTTTGGACAATGAAAACTACCACGTAAATTCTCGGAAAACATAAATAAATTGAATTAAGTCTTAGATATAAAGTCGACCGATTTCTTAATTTCTTCGTGTTATTATTGTAAATTGTTTTACATTTTCCACAAAAATAATCTCCTGGCAGAAACCTCTGCAGAGGGAACATGTGAAGGACAAGAAAACAAATTATATGTTAATTTCACCGATTCGATGAACGCATTTTTCAAAATCAACAATAAAATATCTACTGATGATAGGATACTCGACATCCTTGAAGCATAACTGTCAACCTCTTAAATATACACTGCAGTAAATGATCGATATTACGAATAAAAACAACATAAGCTACACCTTAAAAGAGCAGTTCCCAACTATACAAAAAATACGTCTACTGCTCCAATTCCTCAAAGAAACAAAACTACTTACAGTAACTCCTCGATGAGTGTTTGAAGGCTCCTTGGCACTGACAAGGAGAGGTCCACAGGTGTATCGTTGACTTTATAATGAGGTTTAACACAGGGATAGAGCTTGGAATTCTGATGCCAATAATATTTGTTTCAGCCGTATATGGCCAGTGGTTTATAAAATATTTAAAGTTTCGTGTCGAGGAGCCTTCGAACACTCATCGAGGATTTATTGAACTTACAAGTGTAATATAACTAAACATCGTCGTTGCTAATCACTTTTGGCAGTGGATGGGACGTAAAATAATTAGTGAGAAAAAAAATTGTTAAAATTTTCTGAGCACACGGAGATTAAGACAATTATAAGGAAAAACGAAGTCGATTGGAAGAATCGCGTTGAAAGTGGAGGGAGTGCGAATCGGCTCGTTTCGCCTGTTCACGGCGAAGAAGAACCGTTGTTTGTGACTGGCGAGTTCAACGTGCACACGCGATAATTTTATCAACCGATCATCGTGGCCAGACGCGTTTCAGTCTGCTTTTCCATCGACTCATAAGTTTTCATCGCAATCAGTCGCGGTTTGGCCTCCACGGTGGAGCATCGAATCCTTTGACAATCTCTGAAATTGTTTCGCCAATTCCGTCACACGAGACTAAGTTGAGTTTTCGCGAGTCGAAAGCGAAACGTGTCAGTTCGAGCGTTGAAGAGAATGAAAGAAGTGAGAATATCAAGTTGTTCATTGTGGAACAGTGTCAACGTGAAATTAAAAATCGAGTGTAAAAAGACTGATCAACGGAATATAATTAATGTGTAAAGTGTTGAAATGTTCGATAAATAATATCCATCATCGGAAGTATGTTTAATGTGTGAAGTTCCACGTTCTTCGTTGAATAATGCCTTCTTGGCTGTTACGTCAGATCTGTTTTCATAATATTCATCCATGTCGCAGTCTTACTTTAGTTATATTCGAACATATTTCCTCTTTACTTTTCGAACAAGAATACGCGTACGTGTAAAGTGACACGAGTTTGATAAAATACTCGTAAATATAAACTCTTCATGAGATTAATCTTGATAAAAAACACGATACAACATGGCAAGAATTGCTAAATTTCTTGAATTTTTTTTACATCAAAATCAAGGTTAAACTTCACTAATCGTGTTTACTGGAAATGTACAAAGTGAACTGCTTATTTCGTTCGTCAGCAGGATGTGCAATTCCTTTTGACACTACAATACACGATGAAGGATGTGTATATATTAATGCAGAAGATGTTATGTATATTTTACTTGTCCACAAACTAGTTAAAGAAACTGTTTTTAATATTATTATACAAGATATTTCATGCATGTTGTTTATAAGGAGGATTATGATTATAAAGTAATATATTGTCATATTAATAAATACATAGGTGAAAAAGAAACTATTAATATGAATATAGAGCATTTGTCAAGACAACTAGAGGGTGCTTCATATATATTATTCATGTACAAACTCTTCCAAGAAAAAATTCTCGATACTAATATAGTTGAAATTAATTTAACCATTAAAAAAATGTACTAGGAAAAGTTATTAATATTTATACATATCGTGTTTTTCATAATGACTACTTATAGGAGGGTGTTCCATTTACTTAGTTTCAAATATTTTTAGTGAACAAATTTTGGATATTAATTCATAAAATGTTTAATTCCTTTGTACTATTATAATAATAAACGAAAAAGACAACATTGTTAACATTAATGTAGAGGATGTGTCATTTATCTCATTCAGTTACAAGATATTTGAGAAAGTTGTCGATGTTAGTCTGGACACATGAATATTTCTTCTAATTTTTCCTGATGGCCAAAGTAAACGAAGTATGCTATATGCAATTCTAAAAACCTAACCTGACGAACTATCTAGAAAAAAGTGGAACTTGAACATTCGATACCACGAACCGTTCTCCGTGGAGAAACTTCGTGGCTAGTTCCTTTCAATCAAATGCAGAATTAATTGCGTGGTAATCAACGATGAGGAATAGAAAGTGTGTTTTGGTTGAGCAACCGGTGGCCAGGATTTTAATTAATATCCTTAATTACACAATGAAAACGCCGGTACTGATAGTAAATACAATTCACACAATCTCTAACCTTTTAAATGACTAATTAGGTTCTCCTATTAAGACTGGCAAGGCTAGAAAAAAGTATACTTATTTGAAGAGCCTTCATCGTAGCAGTGGAATTTTCGATTAAAAAGAAATATAATCATCAATTTTCAACGATCTAGTTACTGGAGAAAATTTCAAGTAAATGACCAATTTAATAGAAACTTTATCATCTGATACATCGTTGCACATAAAATCACGTGCTTTAAAAAATTAAATATCTTTTTCTTACATTTTTTATGTAGAATATTCGATACCTTCATTAACATACTATTTCTTTCTAAACGATTAGCTCTTTACGAATTTGAAGGAAATTCTAAATTCTAAACCCGAGATGTTTCTTATGTCTCTTTTAATTATTTTTCAATAAAAACGTTTTTCAATTAATAAATAACCTACTTTGGAAAGAATTAATGAAAGTATTGCAAAAATAAAAATTTATCGATAAAACTTTTATGTTTCGATTTATTTGATGTTTCCTCTGTGATTCACGATATATAAGATTTTATCTTATCGTGCAATTAAATTAGCTGTCATTTCAGAATCATTCCAATCCCTTTTTTAACTTTACATATGTTTCTTTAAAAAACCCTTATTTCTTTCT